ATATAAGATTATGTCTATTACTATTACTATATATAAAATATTAATATAAAACTAATTTACATTAAATCCACCATGGAACCCAAGAATTACAGCACTATTAGAAACATGCTAAAAAAAGCTCAAGGAGAAAAAATTGCTCCCTATGTTTTTAAAATCAATAATACCAGGAATATCTAGATCAAGGGAAAAAATTCACTTATGAAATTTACCAAGAATAAGAAGAACGAAAAATAATAAACAATAAACGAAGATTAATCCAAACTTATGACGAACCAAGAAAAACCGAAAACTTGAAGAAAGGTAAAGACAAAGCAGTTAATGTAAAAGGCCTCCGTTGACCGAATGAAAAATTGAAGACTGCTTAATATTAAGCACATCCACTGAGCTCTGACACAATTGAAATTAAATATAAAAGCAAAAATATTTCAATTTTTTCATAAGCATAAATTTTATTATTTCGATTATTGAATGCGCAATCTTGAAATATAAATAACGTAAAGCACCAGAGTGATTGCATGGGAGAAAATACTCGGACCCAAAGTCATTGATAAGTATAACCTATTAGTTTGGTCACTCTAGTACAAATTTTTAAAATTCATTATCTTCTTTACTACTACTATTGTTGATAATATTATATTGTCACTATCATCTATTTTTTTATTTTATTAATTCATTCTTTGATAGCTTCTAGTGTTCTCTTCCTCAGATTTATTTTTCATTTGTAAAAAATTTTCAACATGGAGGCTGCAATGCCTTTTCCTTTGCATAGCTTGCATATTTCAATTACCATTTGATTAAATAAAAAATTCGAGTCCAATTTGAGCCTTTTGTCAAATAATATTTTAAAGCTTATTCGGTTTCTGATGGATAGTCACGTTGGCCAATTTGTCTGGTAGACTTAGGTTTTTTTTCAGCTCCATAAATTGATCACTTCATCAATTTTCTGATTTATAATATGCAGCTGATCTTTGTGAATTTTGTGAATCAAAAAGTTTTTGCAGTTTGGCTTTATTACTATTTCAAGCCGTTCAGGCAATTATTGATAGTATTTCACAAGAGGAATATCATAAAGTCTTTTGAAAGTTGGCATAAAAGGTTGCAAAAATGTATAGATGTTGAAGGAGACTATGTTAACAATAAACGCGAAAGCTTTACATTTACGTATTGCAGGGATTATTTTTCGATTGACTAAGATTGCGTTAAATTTATTTCTCATCCGAATTGAATGAAACTTTGAACATACATATATCAAACCATTCTAAACACAATTTGTTAGCGCCGTATTTGAGTTTAACATAGGGCAACTGTTTCATCCGTCAATAATTTCTCAATGCCATTTTCCGAAACCGTGTAGTTGATTTCGACTTTCACAAATGATCAAACGTAGAAGACAAAATCGGCGAAACTGTTAGACTGACTTCAATTATTTGGTTAAGCAGAGAAAATAAATGTTAATCAACACAAGTTACAACACTATACGTAAAATTGGTATTGCGAGCAAGTTTAATTAGTGCATGAAGTACAATTACATTAGTAAATTTTTGCGTGCGGAATTTGACGTATGATTTACAAAATCTTGTGTTACCTGGTCATTACTAATACATGTCCCACATAAATCGGAGGTATGGCGCATGTGACACCAAGCGCAGCTGCGCATGCTTGCGTACATATAAACAATTCGGTGTATATTATAATTATCGGAATACATGCTCCGTCCATTTCTCAATGTGTTATAAAATCACGTAAATCGATAGCTTTCCTCTGTCGTTAATTGAAGTTAATCTCTGTTACAGCAGACATGAGCACATTCACCACCCCAAATTTGGCCGAGAAAGACATTCGCGTAGTAGTAGGAATCGGTATGTTTTCAATATTTGCGGCTTCTATCGATGTAATTATTTATATCGTTACTGATAATTATACGCTTTCAATGTTTTCAATTGATTTAGATTTTGGAACAACATTTTCGGGTCAATATTGTTGACTATTTTATAGGCAGCTATTTGATATGATTCTAATATCTGATTTTCATCTGTAACCAGGTTTTGCACTTGCCAATAAAGCAAATCCGGGTATAATCGAAACGCACGAGACATGGTATTTTAGAATTGTTTTGTTGCAGTTTTGTAGCGAGACGTAAATCTTTTCGCACTTAGATTGTTATAATTTCTTTAGGCCGGATCGCAAAGGTCATCTAAAGACTAACACCGCTTTACAGTATGATGAGAAATGGAATGTAACCAAATGGGGCGCCCCGGCTCTGGCCTCGAGGCCTAAAAGAAAGAAAAACTCTGCTGCTGCCGTTGAGACAAAACCAGTTGAATTGTTTAAGTTACATCTTGGCGAAATAGAACACTCCAAGAAGCCTCCATTGCCAATCGGATTAGATTTCAGGAAAGCAATAACGGACTATCTGCGTCAATTGTCAAAGGTATCATGGGTTTTTATCTATAATGTATATTCTGATGACAGTTTTACTCTACTTCTACCTGCTCTAAATAATGTGGGCTTTTATTAATCTAAGCTTATAAAAGATACGCTCAAAACCAGGTGGCCGGGTCTTGAGTTTGACAGGCATGTGTTGAAAGTGATGACAGTACCTGCAGAGTATAATGAAAAGGCGAGATATACATTGAGAACGTGTGCATACGAAGCGGGTCTTATTGACACTATGAATTCAGAACATTTGGAATTTACCCCTGAACGTACGAGACTTGTTTGTATTGAGACTTTGTTACATACTTTTTTATGTTATTCCCATAGTGTTTTTGAAACTGTTATGGCTCTCCTGATAACATGATTAGAATGTTGATTATCAACTATGTCTTAATTATTCCAGCCGAAGCAGCCGCAATATATTGTATTAAAGTGCTCAAGGAACATTCACTTCAAAAAGAAAGTAAGTAATAAAATATTTGGTCCGTTATTGCCCTCACGTATCCAGTTAGTAGAAAGCAAAGGATTCAGCATACAGCTTCTGTTTTTCCAGACATTCTACTGGTCTTAATGATTTTCCTCATGTTATTGATATCACAGATTCCTTTTTAATTGTCGATTGCGGGGGAGGAACGGTGGATTTGACAGTTCGTATACTGAAAGAGAACAACAAATTAACTGAACTAACAGAGAGAACAGGCGATTTCTGCGGCGGATCATATGTAGACAAGGAATTTCTCAAATATCTCGAGAAACAAATAGGGTCAGCAGCAATGAGAATGTTGGAAGAGAAACATTATGCTCAATTACAATATCTAGTGCAAGAATTCTGTGCAATCGTCAAATTAGAATTCGATGGGAATAATGGTTTTGGAACTAAAGAGATAGATCTCGAAGAGGTTTGCCCAGTATTAAAACAGTATGTGACTGGGGATATGAGAGATAGCATGGAAGAGCAAGAGTGGATGATTCAATTGGATCATAATACAGTCAAAGGATTCTTCGACCCAGTCGTAGAAAAAATTATCACTTTGATTGAGAATCAATTATCGGCTGCTAAAAATAATATTTCTGCGATGTTTATGGTTGGCGGATTTTCGGAATCTAAATATCTGTTTAAAAGAGTAAAGCAAAAGTTTGATGCGCGGGTGCCAATCATAGCTATACCATCTGACCCAATAGCGGCTGTAGTACGTGGGGCTGTATTATATGGTAAACAAGAAAACAAGATCGAATATGCCTACATCGTCAAATCAGACTGTATTCGACACGTTTGATTATCAATATAATAATCGTTGCATGATTTTGAATGTAGGAATGAATATGGCTACAATAGAGACACGCGTGCTTAAGCGCACGTACGGCTTGCGTCTTGCTACCAGGTGGAAGAAAGGTGATCCAATCGAACGTAAAACTGAAACGGGACGCATTAAGTACTTCAAGAGGATAGTAAAACGGGGAACTGAAGTCCCGGTTGATGCCAGTTTTTTCCAAGGCGTGCATCCATCTTATCCGGAGCAGACTGAAATGGATTTCCATATTTACACAACACCAAATGAAGATGGAAAATACTGTGATGATGACGAAATGGAGCACTTTGGATCAATGACTATTGTAAGTTGATGAGGGAGCTTGAGTGTTTAATTGAGAGCCGGTGAAATAAGGGAGTTTAGAGGAATGGTCTTGATAATAAAAAGTTGTTAGAGTCAACAGGGTTTATTACAATTGATATTAAAACAATGAACAGGAGATTCACTTTATTGCACATCCTTTTCTTTTTGTAGGAATTGCCAGACGTTCATCTTGGACTTAACAGGAGTGTTGACTTTACGCTAACGTTTGGACGGATGGAAACGAAAGCAATAGCACGTAATAAAGGCAATGGGAAAACATATGAAACAAAGTTTAGATTAATACTATAATGTATATGTTATATATTATATATATTAAAAAATTTCATATTTTGCAAATAGCACGCATTCGTTGTTACTGGTTTGGTTGTCTATTATTTCTCATTGGTTGGCTATTATACAATAAATGAGTTAAATTAAAACTCGAGATCGAAAGTCGTCTGGTAAATTTGTCCGTTTCTGATATTCTGTGCGGTTGCCTTGACTTCCATTGCTCCAAACGTCAAGGTGAACTGTATTAATCGATCTTTACCCAGATGGGGATCTGGCAGGTCAATCTTCATCTTGCCCAACATCCGCATGCCATTTTCATCACAATACTTTGCAGTCAGAGCAGGAGTAACATATATATTGAAATTCATGTCTGTCTGATTCGGATTCACAGGTCCAGCTGTGTATTGAAATTTTTGATTGACAGCGACTTCGGTACCACGGCGAGCCAGTTGATGAAACTTGAATAGCCGGCCTTGTGGAGTCCTACGCTCGGGTGGATCACCAGGCTCCCAACGAGCACTGACTTCCACACCGTAGCTCCATTTCAAAACACGCGTCTTGACAGTAGACATATTGAGACCTATGTTTGAGAAACGAAGTTTCATTAATAACCATGCATAATTCTATTCACGAACACAAAGATTATGTATCGGAAATGTTCAAATATGCATACCATATGACAAAGCACCGCGAACAACAGCTGCTATTGGATGTTTAGGAACAGCAATCACTGGAACCAATCTTCCAAATGTTGCTCTAACACGCGCCTGCAAATATTGCGATTCGCCGAAACCGCCAACAAGAAACATACAACTACACGGAGTATCCGATGCATTCAGTTGTCTGTCAATCAACGTAATAATCTTGTTCACCACTGGGTCGAACATCTTCTTTACGTCGTCATAGGTCATTTCCACGATCCAATCGACGTCATCTAATTCTGCATGCGCTTTTTCAGTCATGTATTGCATCACAGCTGGACACACACGCTCAATGTCCAATTCTTTAGTTCTGAATTCGCTTGGGTTTCCGTTGAATGAGAACTTGACTTTGGTACAAAACTGTTGTACCAAATATTGCAATTGACCGTAATGATTCGTTTTAAGCTGATTCATGGCCTCGAATCCAAGTTTGCGGCCTAGAAATTTTAGAAATTCTCTATCAACAAAAGAACTGCCACACAATTCTCCTGATCTTTCTGTTATTTCTCCAAGTTGATTATCTGGCAATAATCGTCTAGTAGTCAGGTCTACCGTTCCACCACCACAATCAACAATCATAAAGGACGCTACAAGTAGAATATACTGTTAATATAGACATTGAAACAAATAGCAAATTCCGTAACCGCGCTTACCTCCTGGCATTAACTCGTGCTCTTTGAGAATAGAGATACAATGTATTGCAGCAGCCTCAGGCTCGGTCGTAAATTCCAATAAATCTGATCGTAGCGTTTCTATAAGTCCAGCGTGAAAGGCACAAGCTCTCATAACTGCTTTTGCCTCCTCTAAAACATATCAACAGGGTGAGATAGAAAGTTTTATAGTATTTTCAAGAAGCATAAGTAATATACCTGTCCATTCTGCAGGCACTGTCAACACAACTCTGGTATAAATATAAAATAAATTATATTAGTTGACTCGCTTGTTAACAAACATGTATGAACAAACACTCTACGAATGTTCTCTAGCTAATGTAATCACTCAACCTGACTTGTTGTGGAAATCTAATTCCTGGCCACCGAGAAGCCAATGTCTCTTTTATCAACTAATAACAATAACAGATTCATTCAATTAAATGCATTATTTTGAATCAAATCTACACGTTAGCCATACTTTAGCCATTTCACCAAGATAGTCTGTTATCGCTCTCTTAAAGTCTAATCCTGGGGGTAAAGGAGGCATTTCTCCTCCTGCATCAGACGCAAGATAAAGCTTGAACAATTCAACTGGTTTGGCATGGTGTGCATTATTCGCATCCCGTTTCCTTAGTTTTTTCACTGGCTCTTGTGCTAATGCTGGATATCCCCTATAAACGAAAAGAGTTGGCATGCAAGAGATTATAAAGTTATGCACAAGTGAAGACTGAAGAGTCAATTAGTTTTAAATGGCAGATTACCATTTAGTTACGTTCCAATTCTCATCGTATTGAAGGACAGTGTTCGTTTTAAAAACACCGGTCTGTTCAGGCCTATAATAAAACAAAACGTGCGTAATACGCACAGCGTTAATGACGTGTGATGCAAAATATAAAACAGCAATGTCAATTACCAGCTGTCATTTGTAACAATCTCTGGGTTTACTTTGTTTGCATATGCAAATCCTGTTAATAGTGAGGTGCCATTTGAGAAGGCGTCAGAACTATTTGAACAAACTTAAGTCTAGATTACTGAATGCCGAAAATACCTGAGAAGGTCGTCCCAAAGTCTATACGAGAAATGAATAAAGAATTAAGAACGAACTCAGTATCTTGTTGAATTGACAACCACTTAATAAGACAGACGTACCGATAGCAACAACTATTCGTATATCTCTATCCATTGTAAATCGTTTCTCTAGATTGCTCAAGGCTCAAACTGAGTAAGCGCCTTTCTCATGCTGTATCACGCTTTTACGTTTTGTCGTTGGCAGCAAATATCTCCATTTTTGTAGTAGTGAGAACAATAAAGTGTGAGCGATAAGGCGGAGTTAATGCTCCGAAAACTTGATACGTCGAAATCAATGCTGAAATTACAGTAATAATAGTAATAGGGGTTTATAGAAGTGGCACACTGCTGCTTTACTTCTGTTTTAGGTTCTTTGATAGTGTTCTTGCCATGGCAATCAATAACTTGGTACTACAACCGATATACTATTAAAAACTTTGTACCGTTATCGCGTAATTAGCCAATTTGTTACAAGATTTCATCCATTCGATTATACTCTTCTTCGTGGCGTTTAAAATTTTCCTATTTCCTTCTTACTTCCGATATACTGTACAACAGAGATCGTCGAGTTTCATTTTCGGGTACGCGATTCCGAGAAAAGCTAAAATGAAAATCAACACTAAACGAACATCAACCAGTACATCGCATTATATTCTTAGCAAAATTTGTTATTGATGTCCATGGCACACGTTCGCCGTTGCTTTAATGAAAATTTCTCACGAACTTAAGCACCGTAATTGTCAACAGAATGCTCATCCCCGCGCAATTTGTATGATGAATTTCTCGTAAAACCGATAATACTAATACATAAACTGTATTTTCTGTATTACAAATTGCCTTCATTGGCCAATCATAAAGCAACAATTCCCCAATATCTCGGAAAGACACAAAGTTTGATTTATTACGTATACTAAGAAAGATTGAACGTTTCAGTTTTATTGCCTAAGACAACTATTTTGGATTATATATCGCATTCTATCAAAATTTCCATTTTTTCAATAAATTCTTCTTGCATACGTCTTAAATAATCTTTCAGTGTTTCTTTGTCCAAACTAGACGACCTTATACTTGAAAGGTGTTGTGCCAACTGGTATATAATAATAGCGCATCCATTCCATCAATAAGTATGGTATGCTTGGTGGATTTGAAGTAGTCGTGTAATAACCCCGTTTAGATAATTCTTATGCAAACTTACTTGAAGCAAAAGTTTTCTCTTTTGAAGTAATTTATTTGTTTCAGACCTTTCTCTACCCGCATCTATGAGTTCTTTTAGCTATAATTTAACTATAATTAATTTCAAATGCACCTTTCTTACAATTAATTTGTTTATACAATTTGTAAATCGCTTACTCTGTAGGATACTTCAGATGCTCTTTGAATGACGTCCTCAGGTAAACCAACCAACTGACCAAATTTCAAACCTATATGTGAAGCAAAAATCATGTCAAATAGAATTTCTAAGGTATTCAGCGCCAGTTAACGTATTTTAATGTTGCTCAACATGGGACGCGATTCAATTAACTAACCATAATGTTCTTCATTGGTGCTACCGTCTTTTATTTTGTATAAATACTTCATGGCTACATCGTTGCTATTTCCGTCAATCTGCGATTACAGCTATTAATTATTAGCCATTTATCAATTAAACTATTCGTTTTGTCAGTTTGATTTCTGTTTACCTGCACTTCCAGATGTAAATTCACAACGTTTGCGTACATAGCGAGACTTGTTGTAAGCTCATGAAAGTGCGTTGCAAAGAATATAAAGGCCTGGTAGAAACATTATAAATCAAGATAAACCCATAACAGCTAACACATCGGCATAGGTTTGTTGTAGAACAATACATTGCTTCTCAGTAGTTCCTCACAAACAGCATAAGTTATACCCAATCCATCATGAGTTGAGGTTCCTGAAATTAAATGCAACATAGAATCGTAACTTGTCATTATTAAAAATAGACATCAGCATTTTTATCCCACCTCGTCCAAGTTCATCAATAAGGACTAGACTTTTATCAGTAATATTCTGTAAAATATAGGCAGTCTCCCTCATTTCAAGAATAAAGGTACTCGTATTGTTTTCTATATTAAGTTCATTACATATACATGTGAATAACTATACAAAGATATACAACGTCATTGGGTTAATTGTAAACGTTAATGCTAACATAACTTCTATTTAAAAATTACTTACTTGATCCACTATTCTGAATGATGCATATTCGGCTGGAACACTATCAACAAAATATCCGCTAATTAGTAGTGCAGCAATTGAACGGTTAATCAAACTGCTACGTACAATGACCCAATCTGAGACATGATGCAAATTAAAGCGATTTGTCTCAAGTATGTACTTTTTCCACTCATATTTGGTCCTGTAATTAGTTGAAAGTTTGTAGTGGAATTTGCATAGGTGTCATTAGGAATGAAGGGATCAATGCAGAAATGTTCACAGATCGGGTGGCGACCAGATTTGATTGCTAAGATCTCGGTAAATTCCGGTCTACCTGCAAAAACCAAGGGTTTTCAATTAATATAATTCAGCATGTCGTCAACAAATTGTGACTTAAAGACATACACTTACAATAGTTATTAGATACAGTACATTGATGAGCAAGTGAAGTAATCAAATCCAACATTGCAATGGATTCAGAAACTTCATAGAGTATATTAATGTTAATACGTATTTCTGATATGAGTTCGGCAATTGCTCTATTAAAGTACATGTCAGTGTCGTTGTAAAGTGTACATCCCGTATAATAATTAAGATATATCGATGGGTCCGGTTCATTTCACCGACAAAAACTACCGGAAAAGGATAACCTCGAAATAATGTTTGCCGGTGAAACGAACGCCTCCTGTATCGATACTCACTTGTCAGACAACGTATATACTTCTGCCAACGAAACATTTATCTTGCTATTCATCTTCATCTACTTAAAAAGATTTTTAGTAGTCCATTTATATGCAAACCGAACATTACAACTTACCAATTCCAGCGTCGTAAAGGTTAATGTCTTTCTTTTCTTTGTAACATTAATGAATATAAGCGGCAATTGTCTATGCTCCAAGTTGCTAACTGTAGTAGAAAGGCAGAACCCACTTGATGGGTTAAACTGTATTTTGAGAGGAATATTGTGCTGCTCTAATTGGAACACCATTAACATTCATATTATCGTTATTGGTAACGGTCACATTCAGTGCGAAAGGATTCATTACCAGTATAACCATTTACGAGTTCATAGACATCATTTGTTGTTTCTTTGTATGTTTGACGCGCTAAAATGTTGTCAGAATATAATTTATAAATACTGTAGTCTATCTCGCTCTCAATTGATGTTAATTTATTCTCACCGACGTCCAATAGACCATTAAATCCTGCCTATCATTCACAAATGGACGTTAGAAAGTAGTTTAATGATGTAAATCAAACAGGAAATATACCTTTACGGCGTAACATCTTTGATTTCTCAATCCAAGCGAGCTCTTTTGATAGGTAGCGTCTTCATTAATTATATAATTAATTCTTTTTTCGATTGCGCCGAGTCTTTCGTCTTCTAGTCTCTAAATGAATAATATTGGTTTATATCGATATCGTATTTAGCAAGCTAGTATTTCACTATACGATTAACTATAACATTACTTGTCTTGTGTCCGTTAAGAGTATACTCTGACACGAAGCAAGTGCCGTGCGTAGTGATGTGATTGACTGGATTGTATGTTTGAGTATAATTATATTATTGATATTTTGTTCAGCATGTTTAGCTGGTTGTTTCTGCGGTACTTTAATGAGCTACGAACAAGAGAGGACTATCAGTAACAATAGACATCATAGTTTCGTTCCGCTACGCAACGTACTGCTGTGATAAGATGATCCACATCCTGAAATAATTTGAGAGCTGTAAATACTCAATTGTTAGTGTGAATTCGTATTTGTTATTAATATCAATTGCTCAAATCCTACATGTTTGGATGGAGAAGAATAAATCCTACATATAATTATACATTATTAAAATGAGATTTATGTTAATTTCCATGGATTAGTATACGACAACTATACCTCATTATTAATGAGTTCTATAACACGTAGATAAATATTTATTGTATAAAGCGAAAATATTAGTTTATATAGGACTGTAGAATTTGCACACGTCAATGCTTACGCATGCATCATCTTACCTTCAACAGAGTCTAACCGAGCATTTATGATGTCAACATCTATTAAGGAATATTTAGGTTTATGCAGCAACCATATCGCGTTCCAATAGACTTTTAACTTACTTGTGAGTGGCTGCAAAATGTTAATGCGTAGTAACCTAGCTGTAATATTCAATATAAAAAAATATTATTAACATCTTCTGTATTATTATTAACAGTATCATATAAACATAGGATATTATTACCTCCCATTGAAGTACACGTGTGGTTCAAGACGCCTATTATTTAAATTTAGAAAATTTGGTAACGAACTTATTTAAGCAAAAGAATTCTATTCATAGTACTCGTTGCATGTTACCATATAGAGTGTAATTATTATGAGTTTTTGAAATGTTATGGATTAGTTCCAAATTTCGCGCGGTTACACTATCTATAATATAGATTTAATCGGTATTAGTCAAACCAAAATTACGTAACAATGACAAAATATATGTGCCCACCAATCATCATTGTTCCTTCGCAACCGCGGTATCTGAATCTAAGCGATTGGTTAGTAAAGAAAACATGTTGCTGATTCTCAATATATCTAAAAAGGAACATTCAAATAATTAATAGACAAGTAAACTGAATGGATGCGAGTTTACACGTTATTACTTCAGAGCGGCGGCGGTGGCAGCAAGACAATAAAACCTATATACAAACGGTATGTATTTTGTTCAAATGTTATTCAAATTGAATATTAATATCAAAATACTCCTTACTTTGTGCTAAGTCCGAGTATCAAAGTGCTTGCTTCATCTTCGATGCTGTACTAAATTTTGAAACACAATAATGTTTGTATTCATTAAGCTTTTGATTGTGCAATATTTCTTACTCACCTGTTTTATATAATTTAACCCTAACGATATAACGCGTGTTGTTAATATTGCCATCCGTCTATTACAGTATTAACTTCGATATCTTACCAACAGCATTGTTAAAAAGTCTTCTTCCAATTGGAACTATGGATGTAGCTATTGCATTCTCCTCTAATATCTTAACTAATTTGGATTTTGACGGTTCGACTGCCGTATTTGATACAACAATCTGTGGAATTAATTACGATTATAAGACGTATACCGCAGTTTTAGTTCATAAATTTAACGTGCAATTAAACATACTTCATACGGTTGATATACGCTTATTTTATGAAGTGTTTTTGCGTAAGTTTGCGAGTCCGCGATCTAATATGTATTAACAATGATGGCCATCAAAAACCGCGTACAACTTATTAACATTGCAATGTATCAAAATCACACCTGTGACAATATGCATTCACTTGTCTTCACGTCAATAAAACACATTCCAACCTCACTTGCAACACCTTTAAGCAAGATGACCATCAATAAAGAACATTATTTATTGTTTTCAAAATTTAATTTATTATTTATAACCTCTTCCTTCAATGATGGCCACAACAAACGAACTGCTTTCATCACGCGTCGCTCCAACTGTACGAGTAGATGCTGATGTTGTCAGTCCAGTCCTAGACCTTATTGCTGGAATACTGGAAGAGATTTCCAAATCATCTTCTTGATCGTTAAATGATATAATCCCAGGACAAAGAAGAGATGATAGGACTGACATAGTAATTGTAGAGTAAGAATATAAAGGAAGATGGAAGAATTTGTAATAATGCGGTTGATGAAAAGCAGAAGTTATCGCTTTATACGGAAAATGTTTGCAGGAAACTTGACGTCATGCTGACATGCATTAGTTTTGGCAAATTTCACGCGCATACAGATCACGTTACTCGTTTAATACCATTCAAGAAGAAAGAACTACATAAGTCGCCCCGCCCGGTTTGATAAAAACGTGTCATACAAATATGTGCATGATTCGTAGCGAATGCTAAATGTTAACCTATAACGCATCTCACCACTTTATCAAGAAAAGACCCTTTGTGCAGAATTTAGTATACTAACTTAATTTCTCTAGAAGACAGAGAATCAACCCGTTCTACAAGACATTTTTTTTAAAAAACAAACAATATAACAAGTTCACTTATTTTCGCCTCAGACTGAAAGCTTTCTGTGATTATTTTGAGGTTCACTCAAAAAGAGAGTAAATCATGGCGTTCATTGACATTAAGTGTTTGACTTCTATGGTTTTTTGCAATGTTATTTTATAATATAAGTATTTGTTATAGAGCATTCTTCGCGTACGATAAATCACTTACCATTAGTATGTACATGTCAAGGATTGATTATGGCTTTATGCAGAAACAATTAGCTAGACAAATGTGGAGTACGAGGTGATTGGAGTGTATATGAAGGCGATTGAGAAGCGCGGGATGGTGAACGTAGTGCATACGTATTGTCCTTGCTTGTGTTATTATCATGCAAACAATTTCCACTTGTTCGTTCTCTGCCTTCAACTTTACTTCTTTTATCTCCAATCCGTTTACTATCATCCACCCTATCCCCTCTACTTTTTCGGCTTCTTTTTTTCTTGTCCTCTATCCCTTGTCTCTTAGTTTCTTTCATATGTCTTCCGTTCCTCTCATTTTTATCACGTTTCTTATCCCCGTCCCTCTCACTATATATTTCCTCATCATTAGCATCATGATCTTTAGGGCGACTTCTGTTCCGTCGGTGGCGATGGTAATAATCAGAATGATGCTCGTAGTGATGTCTTCTGCGGTGATACGTATCCCGCTGACTGGAGAGTGTTCGACGAACTCGAGGAGGGGAGCGAGAGCGGGAATGAGAACTGGTTGAAACTGTAGTTGTCGTATGAGATGGAGATGGAGGTGATTGAGACGTCGCTGATAACGGTGTGGGTTGAACCGATTTTGTGTTATTTGTATTTATAGACAATTCTGAGTCTAGTAATAAGAGAGTTCACAGTCCATGAATGACAAGTCTGTAGTCAAAGATTACGATTTTAGGAGTTGATTACATGTTCCTACCACTTCTTGTACGATTCGTGTTTTCAAGCCCATTATCTGCCTCGGAATAAAGGCCCTGCGGATTTTTAAATACGTGTAAGAAATTACAATGAATCCCCCTTGGGCATTTGTTCTTATCATAGAATCCTTAAAAATGAAAATTACATTAATCACTGTGCTATATCAACAGAGAGTCCGTAAATATAACGTACCGCAGATCCCAAATTTCCATTTTTTCACCGGACAATATTCTGCGATCAACTGCTTCCCAGCATACCATCTGCCCCGTATCTCGCTTATCGCTTTTTCTGCAGAATTTTCTTCCGAATACTGAACGTAAACATTACCTCTAAGATGAGGCTCAAAGTTATTACACACCTTCAGATAGATGTTCATGTGTTAATAGTAACGTCAACGTACGGGTACTGGATTACATAAGTTCATAACATACTACCTTTAATTGTACAATTTTCCCATACTTTTGTAATTCAGCATGTATGTCTTCAAAAAACTCTGCAAAATGCCGCTCAGCTTCCACCTCGTCATACTGCAAATAATTGGAGAAGAGGTTATATACTTATGCTTCTCAAGTATTCTTAGTATTTCTGATAAATAATTGAGTCTTGGGTCAAGGATTGAACTAGCATTTCGATCATACAAAGAAATGGCGTTTCCAATATCGCAATTAAAATGTAAATAACATGACAATCCCTTCAAAACTGATCATAAATTCAAGGATATGAGACGCTTCATTGTATCCATATTCACTACAGACACTCCTTCGACACGAAAACTAATGGTATATTTTCATTCTCAACGTCGGCAATAATCCCATTCACCTGCAGTTGGAGAGCGCCAGAACACATCGGAACGATTGATCCTCAAAATAACACCCTTTTCCCGCCCCAACCAAATCTTTTTTTCTCAATCCTACCTCCAAGTTGTCATCATTCTCTTCGTCAGCCAGATTAACAGGCATGCCCTGATACATATTCTTAATTAAGACGGTAACACTTTTATCTGGATATGCATGCATTCTAGCACATGAATCGCCATATCGACAAGCACCAGTCTTCAAATAGAATGAGCAGTTGATTGGATCCTACGTAAATGACGTTGGTGCGTGAAGGCAACAAAACAAAGACAGAACGGGAGGATGCGGTGATAAGGTTCAATCATCAATATAAGCGAGTCGTAAATTAAGAAGAATAACTGAAGTGTAGAATATGTAAAAGTTGAATACAATAGTAATATATCAAATGAGGATACACTACTTTGTCAGTGCCATATTCTGTAACAAGCACAGAGTTCGTCTCGTCCGGAGTTACGTTATGTTGCTGATGTACAGTAATAAGCATTTCGTTATTCACGGATTGGACGAAACAATTATAAAACAAGGATGTCAACCTCCTCCAAGTTATCCTTCTTCGAATCATGCTCTGTTATTGGTTTCTGCTGCACTTTTATACTTTTTATCGCCTTCTCCCAATTCTCCTAATAATATCAAAGAGTATTATCATAAAATTAATAATACAGGACCGAAATACTTACTACAAAATGTTAATCAATTAGTTCTAACCTGAACAATCTTTTTTCTTCTCTCTTCTTCCATTCGTCGGGCGTTAGCTTCCTCAATCTGCCGCTCCCTGTATTCCCACAGAATTCTCAATGAATTGCTAGTGCACGAGCAAGTATAGTATTTAGTGGATCAATTGCATATTATTATTAACGACCCAACGCACAATAATTACTGTTGTATTTCCTCGGCTTTCCTCAGTTTTTTTGCTTCTTCATCGGATTCTGTATTAAAGACAACCAGAATACAGCACGTGCATAAATTAATCGATCGTTCACTTTTGTTTATTATGCAATATGAATTAATACCTTTCGCTTCTTCTTCATTCAATTTCTGTCTCAGTTTTGCTGCTTCAACTCTTGCAGCTTTCTTACGTTGTTTCTTCCTCAATTTTCGCCATTCTTTTCGTGCTATCTTCTGTGTATATTCTTTATCCGTCAAGTCCATATTACCGAAGTGTCCAAGCTGATCGATCTGTTCGATCCGATTCTGTGCAATTTTCCGAAAGTGGCGCAGTAACAATAGTTGGTTAATTGGCCGGAACTTTTTTCCTATTACTATAATATTAATATTACATTGAATCTGATAGTACTAATAAAATCACCTGTTATTGCACAGTGTGTCAAATCTCACATAGTATATATTATTTAAAAGCTTGAAATGAGCAGTTTTTATTTATGAATCATTAATAAGATCTGTTCACTGTTATTTTCTATTACTTATTATTATTATAATTACTAACTCTTACACCTCCTCTTCACATCTTAATCTGACTTTTAACCATATACCTCACCTTCTTTATTCAGTTTACTTTTTTAATTGTTGGCTTGCTATTCTGCCTACAGAGTAGAAATAATTCCATCAAATAAATTTGCCAGAATAAGAATTTGAGAAAGTAAAGACAGACAATGATGATGTTTAATATTAATATTAAGGATAAAGTGTTGACAGAAGCAGCATCACTACTACTACTATGAGTTTTCAAAAATCTAAACTTAATACAGCCACTGAACCTGCAACTGAAATCACTACTAAGCCTACATGTTTATGCCCACTCATGATTAAGACAATATTAAAAACAAACAATATGCGCCCAGAGAGTGTCCCAATAACAATAACTCTTGTAAATTGGGAGAAAATATAGCCAAACACATATTGGATTCATGTGACCAAGTACAACAAAACAAACGCAATTTAGAGATGCCAAATTCATTATCATTAGACAATTATAAAAATGCACTTTTAAAAGGAAGCATTAAAATTAACAAGTTCATATTATGAATGAGCACCATTATAATCATTACTTTTCAAAATGTCATCAGTATTATGTCGCTGGGTGGTGGACCAGGGTGAGAGACAGATGTGGATAAACAGCAAGATCTGGTGCTCTGCAAATTCCATCTTGTGCGTCATGAACTTTGGAAAGCATATAATAATAATAAATACTAGACACAATAAAAAGTGAGATATCAAGTAAATTGGGAAAAAGTTTTCTCACGTGGCTGACCAAGAGGAAGACACAGTTTACGGAAGGCGTTTCCAACAACCTCAATAACGGCTTCATGTTCGGTCGACGCCATTTCAACTATGTATACGGTCCCTTTCCTATAATCAAGCTTGTATCCGCTTATCTCTTTGTTTTCAATGAAAGAATTGTATTCTTGCTGGGATACGTTTGAGGCAATCGGAAAAGGAAGACTGCAATTCACACGAGTCAAAACCGGGCGAACTTCAATACAAACTAGTGCAATGTCTACTCACCCCTGCTTTCGTCTAACAACTTCTTTGGTAATTGAATCTTCACTGACGAAAACGCCTTCTGAAGGACTGTTCTAAGTTTATTATGAGACATTTTTTATGATAGGAGGAATAAGTCTTTAACTTGATTATGATAATGGAGTGACAAAGTGATCGCGGAGAAATGATTGCTTCATTTATATTTGCTGTTCACGCAGAAAACTCAGCTGGTTCAACCAATACGGACGATCAACACGCTGTTTGCAGGTTTTCGGGTTAGCGCAAGTTGAAATTAAAATTTACCAATAATCACTCGGTAATTGGATGATGTCAGAAATCACACGACACGATGAATCTGTCACTTTCCAACCAAATTTAGTAATTTTTTAATTTGGTTCTTCTGCATTATCAAAACGCATTACAAAACACATTGATATAGAATATAATGATGCCGATTGAGGTCATGCGCCAAATGTTATAACGATTTTCTTTTAATTCAACCAACATACAGAGATTTGATTTTTTGAAGTGTACGTCGAAATAATTGACATAGTTTAATGTGGTTTTACGTGTTTTAAAGGAGTTTTAGTTTGTAATTTTACAGGCGATCAGTGTTTGTGATATTTACTTTCACATTTGCTCATTTCTTTTCTATCCCAAATTACAGGGTTCAATTGCTTATTACTATGTGTATGTACATGGAACAATAACGGACGAAGAAATGCCTAAATACCTAAGACTCGTTATACAGTACATTCTATTGTCAATATTATCCGTTAATGAAGGTTAGTATGTACACTTTATTCTGCACCCAATGCTTGAATCATTGCCTCTTACTCTGGTACATTAATACAGTGTGTAACGAAAATCATTACATCACAAAAAATTGCAAAACTCAAAAATGTCACAAGATATTTAAACAATTCGAAATGTTTCAGAAAGTTTATAATGTACTCGTTATTTTCCAAAACAAGCTCGCATATTTTTTTTTATTGGTAAAACTAAATCGTTCACTGTTTCAATTGAAATCGGAACATCTCATTTTTCAACCATAAAATTCTTCAACTTATTAATATCCTTTGACATTCGTTTTTCAACATTGTTTTTGATTATTGCCACATGTTTTCTATGGAATTAAGGTCTGGGCTATTGGATGGTGCAATCAATAACCCGAACCCCATTCTCGACAATGAAATCCTTGGCAACACGCAAGGTGTGCTTGGATCATTATTTTGTTGCAAGCGCCAGTTTCTGCCATACTTGAGAGCAGCTGGTCGGAGCTGGGTTTGCAATATATTTACATAGAAGGGCTCATCCATTATGTCAGTGAAGCAAATCGCCTTGTTGTAATGGCGGCGTTTCGGTGCAAATGCTGTCCAAGTACACGATATATCGTTGTGTAACCTGTGAAGGACGACCATTTCCCTTCCTATGTTCGACAGATTCTGTATCTCGGAGTTTATTAAGATTATACTTGATTGTATGAAGTAGACATATTGGGTTTTTTGTGTATCTTCTTCGGTGATTGAGTGCCATTAAGCCAATAATAATAATAGAGAATTGTTTGCGTTGGGCCTCCAGTCACAAGTTAACCATTGTTACTGATAATGTAAGTTCGGGAATGTCTGACAATCCGAAGTTTTTTATCGTGAAAAAACGTTTACCTGATTAGTAGCTAAGTGTAAATAATATTGCGTTGACAATAAACAACGCGTTTCTAGTTTATTATAAACAATATCTTCGATTTTTCGAAGGCAATTATTTTCGTTACACACTGTATGTATTATTGTTAAATTAGTAAAACTTTGGTTAGAATTATTCAAAGGAAAACCAATTATACTTATATTACAGGTAAAACCTGTTTAAACTGGTTTGCTGATTTTTGGCCGGTTTAGCCAATGACCGGTTCAGAAAATTGTTTAGCTATAAAAAGTTTTAATTAATGAAAATGTGGTGTAGTCGTGAGGCGGCCGGTTAAACCCGAAACCGGTTAAATCAGCGCCGGTTTAAACAGATTTTACCTGTACTTTAAAACGCGTTATATAATTTTTCAAGTTTTCTGGTTTACCATGAGTTGGGGTTTATGTTTATTAGTTTTCGTTTTTCTCAATAATTCACAAGTAAAATTTCTTTATCTAGATATTCCTGGAGAGTTTGGGTATTATTAATTTAAAATAATATGAACAATTTTGTTTGCTTAAGCTTTCTTTAAAATACTTCTAATTGTGGGATCCATGGTAGATTTAATATAAATTACTTTCTATTAATATTTTCATAAAAAACTAGCCCTATTTGCTATTACTGTATAAAAATAAATATGTTATCACGTTTTTTTATATAATATTAGTATACAATTATATAAAAAAACGCATTTTGTTGTATAATAATAATAACATTTAAGTAAAACAAATTATCTCAACAAATAAACTGTTCATTTGGTTTTGTTGCTGTCTGTCCCATATACTCGTAAAGATCGAAACATTAATATTTATGTAATAGTAAATGTAAACGTACTGACATTATCCTTTTCTACGATGTTAGATTTTGCGATGATTAATGTCATGTTCGCAACCAACTATTCACCTCTACGTCTCGACTTTAAGGACACATTAATATAATGTGACAAGTGATATGGTGCCTCCATTAACATGATGTCGTACACTCCCCTGCTGCCCCAAAATATTTTTTATCGTCATAGTCAAATATCATGATATTCGCATTTGTTAGTTTTCTATCGATACATTGAAAAAATGAACATTAATTAATTATAAGATACAAATCATTTGTTTATTCGATAGGGTGCGCTTGACTGCAGGATCGTACAATTTGAATGTTTGGGTTCACAAAGATGCTTGTGATAATACGGAATGACGCGCATTATATACTGCATGTTCCGGGAATTAGAATGTGACAAATAATTACTTAGCTAATTTAATAAACTTTTTTTGCAAAAGTCTTATCATTCGAAGCGTGTATGTAGTAATCAAAGACACATTTTCCCGGATGATTTCCATGGGAATATCAGTCTTCGCAAAAATCACATAGATTATAGTTACCTGTTTCAGTATTCACTAACGTGTCTTCGTAAATATAATAAAAGTGCATGAAGCATGATAGTAATATTCATATCTGCAATTATGGTATCAAGAAGAATTGGCGCCGCAGGAAGTGGACGCGGCGGAAGTAGAAGAGGAAGAGGAGTAGGAAGAAGAACACCAGTTGGGCTGAGTCGGGGCCTGGCTAAATTAAGGGCTCAGCGGCGGCGACTAAATGCTATGAGAGGGCTTGGATATGAGCTTATTGTCCAGCAAGCCCTCCTAGCATCACGTATAATAGCCTATCGGGGAAGAATAGGGTGAGTATCTCACTAAGTATTTGTGGAATAGTTATTATATCCGAAGGTACGCTGCCACTAGGTGTAAATCGAAAAGAATTGAAAGCGCACCGTGGCCATGGCTTGTAAGCTACTGTGTGAAGGCAATCGAGTGTATGTATCTGAAGGTACGCTGCCACTAAGTGTAAATCGGAGTTTTGGTAAGGCACGTGGGGTGCAAAATAATACGTAATTATAATCAGAAGGAATCTATTGTTCGGGAAAAAATTCTAAATCTACTATTTATAGACAATTTAATAGAAATCCTGCATGTAGACTTAAGCCTACAAAGAAAAGCTCAAATTCTTAATCGTGAATACTTTTGTCAAGTGCGTGTATATCAATAGATATAAGTGAACTCAAATGATTACAGTTAATCACCAGTCAGATATGCTTTTAATGAACTATTCTCAGGACACTTTATTATTCGAATTGTAAGGAATTAAATATGCTGAAGACGATCTGATGATGAATTTTGAAGGAAATTAAATATCTTTTATGCGTGTCACTGAAAAGTTCAATTCGTTGACTATATTGGGAAAAGGGTAACGGTAAATCTACGCTCTAAATACGGAAATAGCTGTACAACTATATTATTTATAATTCCATCAGCCTATTATTCCTTAGCGTTAGTATTAGATTTACTCTGCGCTCGGCGTGTGGACGATCTAGTCAATTATTTTTAAACATGGTGTGATACCAAAATCAACCAATCAAATTACATTAGTTTACGAGTATAAAGGTCACGCTATCGATATATTCTTCGCTCTTTTACAAATAAAATGGATCCTCCAAAACCAAGCTCAAGTCCCGACTGGTCGAATGCTTTCGCTTTTGAACCCTCATCCACGTCAACAACTAAGGAGAAACCTGCTCAACCCGCAGCAGTGCATAAGTCAAGATATAAGAGCAATAGCATATCTAAGAGTGCTGACGAAGCAAGGCTGAAGAGAATTGAATTAGACGCGGAAGTTAGGAGAAAACATCGTGAGCAGCTGATTACCGCGAAGAGGTTTAAGCATCAATCAGAATCATTAATTACAGACGAAGAAGGTAAGAGAAAGTGAGAAGACGAAAACCAGGATAGGTATACAATTCATAGAGGAATACAATGTCTCTTAAACACTTAATAGAATCAGAGTTCGACCTTACCCAAAACGATATCAAAAAGTTACAATCTAATTTGGAAGTAAGTTTATGACTCGTGACTTTCAATAAATATCGAAGCATTTGCCAACTATTATCGCTTATAATATTTGCTGGCGTTTATAGAGTCATACGAGAGATATTCGCTTGCAAGCTCTGAAAGATCTTAGCAAATATCTGGTTGATCCTCCGGAAACCTTAAAGCAATTAATAATTGAGGGAGATTGTGTTAAGATTCTAACTGTAAGTTTGTTTGTCCTATAGTATTTTAAATTGCCTGGCTAGCAACGAGATACAACACACATACGCTTAATACTAAGCTAATCTGCCTTTTAGCGTTTTTTAACCGGGACGGATCCGGAGGAACAATTGCAGGCTATTTCGTGTGTCACCAGTAAGTATTAATCGCGTTAACAGATCGATCACCCAGCAGTTAATAAATGCGAACGTTGTTATTTTCTTAGATATTGCCGCGGGACCCAAAAACATATGCGAAGCGGCCTTACAGACTGTACCATATCTAATATCGTTCCTTGATGTCGACGATTTGGTAAATATTAATGTTACACAGTTGGTTAGCACGTGATATTAATGAAGCTGAATAACATAAATCGTCAATGAATAAATGTAAAGGTGTTACAAAACCAAGCAACGTGGGCTATCGGCAATTTTGCTGCCGAAGGATCCGAATATCGCGACTTACTCCGCGCAAATGGGGTGTTAATTCCTTTGGTTCGATTGCTTGATTCCAAGGTACACAGATTCAGGATTATTATTATTATGTTCATGTTAGTGTTTTCTTCGATCAATATCAATTACACACCTCGATATATTGTGTGATGTCTATTTATTTCTAGGATGTGAATCTTATTCAAACAGTCTGCTTTGCACTTTCAAATCTTGCTCGTGGACCAGATCCAAAACTGGATGAATTTTTCAAAATAGAAACTGATAAAGTCTTGCTAAGACATCTGGAGAACGATGAGGTCTGAGTCTGTGGAGCAAGCCCATTTAGCTGATTGCTTGTATTCCTATCACTCGCGTTAGCATTTCTATAGGAATAGCACGCGAAATATCTCTAAAACGTTACCTAATTTCTAATTACGGTTCACATCATTACCCTCTATTTTTACAATGAAGTAGATGTCCGAGGTTGTTTCCGAAATATCCTGGGTGCTTGCATACCTTACGTCCGACTCCGATACGTACACCTCGCGCTTACTTTCAGAAGGCCTAATCCCACGTCTTGTCAAACACATGCGACCACTCCTCTCTCACGGTCCGCTCGCACTGCCTCTGATTAGAACGTTAGGAAATGTTGCTGGTGGACCAGATGAGAACGCAGACGAGTTGATACAGCAGGAAGAATTTTTGAAACTTATGATTGAGTATGTGCAGAGTGAGTGCAGGTAAGGAATCTCGACGAAATTTGTGTTAACTGCACAAATAGAATGGGTCAGATTCGCGTTAATCATATGTGGTGAATTTTTGTAGAGCCGTTAAGAAGGAAAGCCTTTGGGTGATGTCTAATATTACTGCCGCGTGAGTATATTAATCATTGCACAACCGCGCTTCCTTTTACCGATTTTTAACCATTTTACGCTTTCCAATAGCCGTAGATCTGAAGTGCTTGCAAAAGTGATCTCGGTGGGCTTCATTCCCATATTGTCAACAATTGCTACACATACCAATTTTGATATACGCAAAGAGGTAGGTCTCTGAACGGGTGAGTTAGAGTGAGACAGAGAACAATACGGTTTATCGGCTACTAACTGATGAAAGAGTTCAAGCTTGTACGTTGAAGCGTTGTTAATTATACTATGTGAATAGGCTGCATACGGTTTATTGAATATTGCTTCACATGGAGAGGAGTACCTTCAGTCATTACCTCATCAAGACCTTCTTCCAGGTAATCATTATTTATTCTTGTCTGCGTTATTACAAGCTATGAAAGTCTTGACGTATTGAATATACTTTTTTGTTGTTTTTTTGGAATAGGCTTTCTCGAGTTTGTTCGTTCTCAGGATACAGACTTGATCCGTTTAGGTCTGACCTACATCCATTTATTAATAACCCAAGTACCTTCCTCACGCCAACTGCTCGAAAGCCTTAACGCCATTGACGCAGTCGAATCGGTGACGTTATCTGAGGATCAGGACTTAAAGACGAATGCGAGTAGATTAATGGATTTGTACTTTGGAGAAAATTTTGTCGAGATGGAAGGAATGGATGAAGCGAATGAGCCAAATGAGGAGGGAGACGTTAATGGACAATTGGTGGAAAAGGTAGATGTATAGGAAGGACGAATGGGCCAGTTGGTAACTATATGGGTATGTGTGACGATAATTATTGTATAAATAATATATAGGAATTAAGTTATGTGGCTCTAGTCTTCCTTAGGCTGTAAATGATTGTTGACACAATTGCGTAAAGACAGTGGCACCATATGATTTGTAAATTTTGAGATTAAAGCAAATATTATTATTTTTATCTTCAATAGTGGGTGTATAATCATAATAATAAAGCAATATTCTTACTTTTATCGAATTCTTACTATATTCACTTGCACTTACGTCATGCTGATTCCGTTAAAAGCACTTCATAGTAATAATAGTTGACTTTAATTTACAGTCGCACCGTTTGCATTCATACATTCGGTAACATAGTAATATGTCACTGCTAATTTTGATCAGATTAAGATACCAATTCGTGTGTTCCCATTAACGTTAATACTCTCTTACCAAATTTAGTAATTTTATACATTACCAACTCTGGTAAAGGAGATAGCTAGAGAAAATAATAATAACTAAAATAAAAATACATGCTTGACTAGCTGACAATGGCCAGGCAATGCCTATTAATAGTCTTGGTTAATATTCCCATTTTCATATTAATATTCAATCCCTTTAATTGGAGAAATGAAAATGAAATCACTGAGTATGAAGGCCATATTAATATATTAATATACAAGCTTGTGGCTCATGCCAAACAAATTGGTACTAACACAAACAATACTTATTTAATATAAGATATCAGTGATCTTAATCTTCAATGGCCAGCAGCCTTTATCATAATATTTGTCCACTTGTCATAGATGAATTTAAAGATATTATGGCAATATTAAATATAAAAATGTATACATGCATGCATACTAAACACTACTTTTTTTCACAATTAATTTCTGCTTTTTTTTTTTTCGTTCCTAATGCTAATGTTATTATTCCGTCTCTCAGTAGCATACAATCATTATTAATATTAATATGGCAAGATATCAAAAAAGTTATAACTAACGTTTTAATATCTGCGGAAGAAATAAAAGAAAGATAGAATAGTTTCAAGATGATAATAATGTCTTATTTAGGTGATGCCCACATTCGTCATAGTAATAGTTAATAGTATAAGTAATAGTGACTGAACTTGTAAAAAGTTGACCTTACTATTACCTCTATCCGAAAATCATTATCTAGTACTAGTGAGAATATTAAGCCTCCTTATTTATCACCCTATGAGTACTGTTTTAATATAATTAAAGGTGGTGTTAAGAAAAATACTAATCAAAAACCAGATTATTACCTAACACTGTTTCGCGCTATATAAATATAATAGTAATAGATCAACAGTTAATGATAGTAATCAAAACGTCATTATAATTAGTTAACCTTTCAGCCAACCTCAGCCATTGAGTTCATGTGACCAAATGTTCACTTTCTTTCCACTGGTACTTATTCTGAACGAGATCGGCAGGTACATGTAAATCTTTCTGTGAACACGTTGTCTTCGCGTTTGCTTTGACAGTACAATAACTTATTTTGTTGTTAACCCGTTGATAAACTTTCTCGAGGATAAAATGTCGAAGAGAACGAGGGATAGGAAGTAGCGAAGGTAGAATATTCCTGTTAAATCATGTGGTTTCGTTATCTCTTGCCGTTGAGGCTACTCTCGGCGTCGCGGTTCACGTGACAGACGACTATGTTAGTATTCGATACCACTTGGCGCGAAAACGCATTTTGGTTTACAAACACAATGAGTGTACAGTCTGATAGAGTTCCAGAAGTCTATGACAAGGTGATAACAGCAGAGTATAAAGCATTACTTCAGAAGGCGCTACTGAAAGAATGCAAGAGAATTTTACAGGAAGTACCGCCAGAAAGAGAGTATCATTATTGGGACGTCTATGTGGGTAAGATATTCATAAAAGAATATAATTATCCAGGAAAAAAGTGAAAAGAACCGACTTAATAATGTTGATATAAACAGGGAAAGCCGGTCTGTCGTTGCTCTTTTATCGAATCCACGAAAGAGATCCAGGCAAGCCATTGCTGCCATGTATTCCTCACATATATTCTGTTTCGCTTAGTTCTCATTCCATTTTCAGGTTTCATGATCGGCCCCAAAACTGCGTTAAAAATTGCTGAAGAATACATAGACAGTGCTCTTGCAAGTTATCACGCAACAAATCCTTCGTTACCTGCCGATCCTTCTCTTCCCGCGCACATTGAAAACGAGTGCGGGTTTTTATGTACTGCTGTTGGGTTGCATGCTGTCGTTGCGCGTGGTTTGTGAATGAGATTCTAACACCATCAAAATAGCATGAGTAAATGATCGTGATCTTCAAAACCGCGTTCTTTTTTTTCTAGTCAAATACCACGTGGGTGATTACGAAACAAGCAATCACAGCCTACACTTACTACGGACTCACTTCGCCCACTCAGCGTTCGCTCCCCGAACACCATCTGAACTGCTTTATGGTCGCGCTGGATTGTTGTACGCTTTGAATTATACGGAACCTCTTTTTTCGAGTCTTTCGGATAATTTCACTTTGCCGAGTAATCCGGTTCCGAGCGCGGAAAGCTCGCATCATTCTCATCGCATTTTACGAAATAATGACAAACACCCAACGAGCGAATACTCTTCAAGCAAAATCCATCAGATAATTTCTTCAATTTTTGATGCGACAATTGAAAACGGTATACGCACCGCCTCTGACGCTGGCCTGTCCGCCAAAACTCCGCTCATTTGGAAATGGCACGAAACTTTCTACCTTGGCGCCGCACACGGTGCTGCGGGAATTTTGACCGTTCTGCTCTCATTTCCTGACAAAGTTCGTGAATATAGGGATATCATCAAGAGAGCAATAGATTTTGTTTTGTTCGAAACAAGAGGAGAAAATGGCAATTGGATGAGTAGCTTAGATAGTGGGAAAACTGATTTGGTACAATTTTGCCACGGAGCGCCCGGAATTGTTTTTCTTGCTTGTAAAGCGTATGAGGTTTTTAAAGAAGCTAGGTAAGTTTATCAGAGCGAAGTAAAAAAGAAAGGTGGGTCTGAATTGGTAGTCTGGAATTTGAGTAATATAAATAAAATATAGCAAATGTACATTATTAAGGATATGTAGAAGTACATCCCACTCAAGTACATATTCTTAATTTCTAAAGGTATTTAGAAATAGCCACCGAAGCTGCCATGTTTGTGCACGACTATGGAATCCTTCGTAAAGGCGTTGGTCTATGTCATGGCATATCGGGAAATGCTTATGTTTTCCTCATACTTTTCAAAATCACCAACGAAAGAAAATATCTAGAATGGACCGTTGAGTTTATGGATGCGTGCTTACAATGGGAACAGTTAACCGAGAAAAGACAATTTCGCGTTCCGGATCGTCCGTGGTCTGTTTGGGAAGGTTTAGGAGGGGCTGTCTGGTACGCGTTTTCCTGTTTGGTGAGGTAAAAGGAGGATATGAACGATGCGAACAGAGTTGGAGATGAGGATGGAGATTAAAAAACATTAGTGTTTGTATATTTTAACTAATTGATAATACTCTAAACAGGTTGTTGACAGATGTCCTCTTTTGGGAAAACGAAATTTTTAAGGGATTTCCCGGTTTGTCTGATATTCAATCTACATGAAAACTGTTACAAATAACGTTGAAATATTCGTAGCCATTGACACGCAACTGTATGTTATGCGATTTATTAATACATTTCGCGTAATTCAATCGACCGAAACTTATCAAATAAAATGAAATACTGTAACTTACATTTTATTATAGGTAATAATAATATTATTATCTTTATTGTTATCGTGGCTGAGTAGAATATATAGAATTCATGTGTCGTAACCCGAATCATGCTTTACGCCTCATCAGTAAATTTTGTTGATTATGACTTCTCGGACTTTCGAATATACACGGTTAATACTGGCCCCAATGAAATGCGACGATTGATTTTTCTATTTCTAAAATAGCGATTGCGCCTTCTACTATTTCGAACAGAATATTAAACTATAAAGCAAAAGAGAAGGACAACTTTGTACTGAATAATTCGTTTATATGCAGTAGGAAGGTTGATGACGTTCCTTTATACCCCAATCTGGAAACATTTTTGGCTCGCATATACTTGTACTTTGATTTCACGCGTGAAGAAAAATCTAGAATCATCTGATCAACGTTCCTTATTTGTTAAGGTGCGATCATTAATAGTCCAAATTTGGTGACTGTACTAGTATTAAATTTAATAGCTATATCAGACCGACTACATCAATAACATTAAACGAGAGTTGGGAGAAGTATAATAATAAGTAACAGTCATATAAAATTCAGGGGTTGTATTTATTCTGCATAACCAAAGGTGTATAGAATGTCACAATCGAACATCTTTTGCTTCTCGACTTACTTTTTCTGACAGCTTTTCGTTTTGGCTTTAACTATTTATTTCCTCGTAGTTTAATTAGTTGCCCATATTCACAAACAAAGTAATTCTTTCAAACCGTCACTGAAACAACAGCAGAAGACGAATTTGTGGCAGCAGACGGCCTTTCTTACCACCTGTCATGAAGTGCTTTTGCGCAGTTTATTGCTATGAGGATGGAATGGGAGTAGAAGAAACATTGAACAAGTAATTAAAAAAGGGTCACTTAAACGATACAGTCACGGATAGCCTGTGCGTGAAATTTAATTACAAGTCCACGAGCAACAAAGTATTATTTATAGAATTGTCATTCTGTATTTTAATGGGATATATATCACGTTATACCATATTCAAATTGTAAATTACGAAATTAACTTAAAAATTTGTTTTAATTTAATATTTTTTCTACTCTGCCTTACCTATTTTAATTCAGTTTTCCCTCCAGTTTCTCCTCCAGTTTTCCGCCCCACTGGTGCGGCAATAATTTCAGTATCAAAAGGGGTTCGAGCGGGCCCTCCAATTTCTCCTCCAGTTTTCCCTCCAATTTCTCCTCCAGTTTCCCCTCCAGTTTTCCCTCCAGTTTCTCCTCTAATTCCCCCTCCGCTACTATCATTCTTATTAACCACTTCTTTCTGGGCTGCGATTCCACCTTCACTGCCCCTTAAGTCATCGCCCTTCAATTCACCTCGAACTGTAAATTACGAAACTGTCTTAGTGTTTTAATTTAATACGCACAAAGGTTTTCCATTTTGCCTTACCTATTTTTGTAACATCTCCTTGAGTCTCCCTTCCACTAATATCTTCCTTTCCACTGATGTCTTCCTCAATGTGAAATTCGTTCTGGGATGCGATATCGTCTTCACCGCCCTTTACGTCAGCGCCCTTCAATTCCTCACTTAGAATTTCCAAGTCCAGCGCGTGCTCCTCACTAGCAAATGGCTGGAACAGTAGAGAAGGAGAGGGACGAAGTGCCTCTTCGCTCAATGTCGGTCCTATACCAGCATCAACTCGCTCCTTTATCCACTCGTACCATTCTTTCTCGGTACGGCCCTGGAGGAAGCCAACAATGATTACGGTCATATTGTCGCAGCCAACACCACCAAGATCGGAACCAGGAGCTAGGCAGCGATCCATGAGATTCTCGCACGCTTGTGTTAGGTCGGCATTTTTGGATATTTCTTGTCGAATAAAAGCGACCACGTCTTGTGATGATAAACAGTCCCAGATGCCTTTTTATTGTATATTTGGAGATAAATGCTGAATTGAGAGCACTGAAAGTAGATAAATAGCTTAGGAGAAAGCAAAGCTAATATCTGATTTTCTCCACTTACCATCACAGGCCAACACTATAAATTCAGTCTCCGGGTCAATTGTAAATTCTTTGACTTCCGGGTGGGCTGTAAAACGTAAACATACAGGTCACATTGCAAATTAACGCAGAGTAAACCATTTGCAAACTCAGCAAATCGCTGCAAGATCATGAAGTTACCAGTAACAATTTGCTCTTTAGCATCCAGGCCTGCGTTCTGCTTAAATTCAAAGTCTCCAATTGCGCGAGACAAGGCGAGGTTCCCTAATAAGTCACAAGAGAGGAAATAAAGTGTAAGATAGTAGCCATATGCATTCATCACCAATAGTGTCAGTTGCCTGACTGTCATACCATTTACACGACCAAATTCAACAAATCCGCCTGCTTTATTGATTCTATCGGACTCATCTGTAATATAAAAGCAAAAGATGGTATAGTCAAGTCTTCGATTGCTTTTTGGCAATCAATTTCTTTCGGTTTATTTCAACTTGCATACCTTTATTATGTGGTTTATGGTCGTTAGACAGTGGTTGCGCTTCGCCTCTCACACTGATAACCGCACGAGAATCGCCGGCGTTGCCCTAAGCCAGAAAATAAGAAAGGAGTTGATCAAAAAAAAACGTAGAAAAAATGCAATCAAATATACGTAGATATCTTTTTGTTTGCGTTTTCACTTACGACAAGGATGTGATTGTCGGGCGTTATAAGCGCGACAACAGCTGTACATCCTGACGGATCATTTTTGAAATCGGGATCTGTGGAATAGATAAAAGTTTAGATACGGAAAACTAGCGATTATCGATAATCCATCATCACGTAGTTTGGTAAATTTAAACTTGTCAAAGTATGCCTCTTCATCATCTAGTAACCCCATTAATACATACGAGTCTTAAGATCTTCATCGAGACCAAGAAATCCGCTCATTATTGATGCACGCAATTCACCACGAACAAATGCATCGTCATGAGAGATACGTTTATGAAGATTGCTGCCGCTGTATTTAGCAATATTTGGACCTAATGGAGCAATTCGACATGGCTTAGATGGTTAAGGCATAAAAATACGATGCAAATAACTAGTAAATTAAATTAGAGCTTTAATGCCCATCGCGAAAACTATCTCAAGTATAACATTAATAATCCTCGATATTCCAACACTCATACAGCATTTAATATCTCTTTATCGTATTTTTCAATTCTCGTATCCTTTTCCCAAACTCAATATTCTGGTTTGTTAATTAATAGTTACCACCGTGTCCGTCGTAAACGCCGAAGAAGCTATATCCTTCTTTCTGCGCCTTATTTTCGAGTCTCAAAAGTGCAGTATGCGCGTCCTCCATGCCTAAGTTACGCGTGGTAGTTAGTAGTTAAGGATAAAATTGACGTAGGAGGACGAGCCGAACATTGAATAGGCGTCTTGCATATATCATAAGACACTACAGTCACAAAACTCGTTTGCTCTGAATCTTTACTAATAACCAAAGGATACTTATACGCCAGCCTTGCATTTCCGATACAGCGTAGATTAGACGAGCGTCCCCGCCGTTGGCACTGTGTTTCTCTCTTACTGGTTCTGATAGTGTCTGACCCATGTTTGACTAATATTATATTATTATATATGAGTGAGTATGAAGGGTTTCTTTTTTTTTCTATCGGTTGGAATTGACGTCTCTCAAGGGACTCATTTCCTTCACTTATAGTACAAAAAAAAAATGACGTATACGGACAGCCCGTTTGTATTATGACACAGTGGTTTTTTTTTCACTGTCGCTTATCCGTTTGTATAGTTGCTTACCTGCGTAAAACTACGTACGTATGGGGTTTTCGCTAGCTTTGCGTATGTTCTTTAATCGTATCACATCCATTTTTAGTCCTTATTGTACAGGGGGCCAAAAAGCTATATTAGTTGTGTTATTATTATTATTAATATATCTTTGTTGCCTTGGAACTATATTGCGGAATCACAATATATATATTAATACTACGCTTATTGGCGGAGTTTAGTAATTTTAATGGGCGCAAACAGCAATGACGACAGATTCACCCTCGTTATCAACGGTGTTACTTATTCGGTCATGTACACTTGTAAACCTGGGACAGAACAAAATCTCGCTTGCATCATTGGCTATAAAGATTACACCAACAATTCACTTGGCTGAAGATTCCCTGGTATTTATGGAATAACGCTGGCTCATCCATTAACTTAACTAGAAAGTAATACAATCATCTATATTAATAGTAGTAATAAGCTAAATTCCAGAATTCTACTATGTGTGTCTTTGCAGAATCAATGGATATATCGGTCATATCTATATCTTAAACGGCAATGTTACGAATTGGTATCTCATTCATTTTCCACATGTGACTGCATTGATTGTGAATCAAATCTATAATAATAGTGACAATAGTAATAGTGAGGAAATCTGAGCAAAAAAATTCCGGATACATCTCCTGATATTATACAACAAATGTACTACTCTGTGTAAGCTGCGCTTGCATGTAATTTGAGCATAATAAAGACCTTTGTCAATGAGTTTCCTTCATTATATTTACTATTATGTTATGAATGTTATGTTAATCCGTGTAACGTTAAACCGCCGGAGTTTGCGCTATTTTCCGTTATCTTGACAAATATATTGGCGTTTTTGCAGCCTACGGAGACACATAATCGTATTCTTATACCAAAGTCACAAAAATGTTTATTAGTTGAAAAAAACATATGCGGCGTGCCGCGACGTTGAAATTATGATGTCATCTGTAGCCGTCCTATTTGCTTTGCAAGGTTATCAGTTTTTATTCTCTCCTCTTTGAACCTAACTTGACATAAAAGGAAAAATCCTCTCAGTTAATGAAATTATCGTACCGGAACGTCAAACTAATTTCTCCGGCTCAAGTGCTGCGCATACTTATTGTCTATCCAGATTTTTCAAGTCTTCTGGGGTACAATGCCCTTCACAATAAACAATCTTACTTGATTGTATACTCACGTATTCTTGGGGTATTGTCCAACTCGACTAGGAGAGATATGCAACTGAGATTGCTTGGATTATCATTTAGCTTATGACTCTATATGTTCATATAATGACCATGGTTTCCGATAATTACTATTGGCTGGTAAGGAGGCAACAATAGTATACGTTGTTGTCGAAAAAGTCTACAGAATAACCTTATAATAAATCATGCGCTCTCCCTCCTTCCCTAGCTGCACGTGAAACGGATTTGCATGAAAATAATCTCCGTAAATGCACACACGTGAGCCAGCTTTAAATACGGTATAGTCGGACAACATGCGAGTTAAAGACAGGGATGAGTTTTTGTGGTAACATTGTCTTCTAATGTCAGATATTTTAATATCATAATCTACGATTTAAGAATGGCATCGTGGTCGTCAGCTTACTCTTTTAATAAATATTTCATCATGCAGCAAAAATTACGACTTTGCCTGTGCTCAAAGTTACGAGCTTTGTCTTTGTGCTCGAGATAATAAGAAATTTTGCACATTTTTAATTGGGTTGAAAAGTCCGAGTAAATGAGTTTACAATAAGACGCAAAGAGACACAGATTGTAACATGCCCGTAGTTTGAATAAGCGCTTAAGGGATTTACAAGGACAGTTGTTGTATGTTTGAAATACAGTGTGTTACAAAATTATCCGGAATCAAAGACAATCATGTTGTACCACAACCAGCGATTCGAAAATTATGAAAA